AAGCCCCTGAAGAATCCCATTAAGCTGATGAGAAGGTTGAGGCGTGCAGTTAGGCCTCATGCCCAGGATCTGAACCTGCTTTTTCTGAGAGGTCCCACCACAGGAGCTACTGAGCACAAGGGCCTCCCCTCATATTTACGGAAACCAGGCCTCGGAGAGGGGGCTCCCACTTCACAAGCAGCTCAAAGTGGCTCAACATAGGGGCCAAACTCCAGTCTCAATTGGCTCCTGGGTCAGATGGTAGCAAATGCCACTTCCTGAAGGTCCTGGATGGAGAGGGTGTCCGCCCTGATAATCACCACCTCTCAATTTATTACCAGCCCAGATCCAGCCATACAGCTGTCCACCAGGCACCCACCCAGCGCAGAAAGGACCTATTATGACATCACAGGCCAGGAATTAGGTTATTAGCTTGGGAAGGAGGCTGGACCCAGGGACAAAAGGCTCACTGTCATGCAAATGTCCGACTCCGAGGAAGCGCGCAGCTCCTCCTACCTTCCAGTTTGTGAGCTGAGAAAGCAGCTCCCAGCCTTCCAGGAGAGTTTGGGCAGGCATCTCCGGACCTCAGATCCGGACCTCAGATCCGGGCTGAAGAGGGATCCCTCAGACCGGGAAATAGGCCCCTCCCCAGGTCTGAGCCAGATTCCCAGCAAACAGGAGTACCTGTCCTGAGGAGGGATCCCCCTAGAACCTGGGTTCAAATCCTGCCTCCTCTTTGGTTGTGCCACTGTACCCCAAGACAGGGTAACAAAAGGGTCTTAGAGGACAGAATAGGATAATTCACCTAAAGTACTGGGTGTCACCCTGTTACAGAAGCAGCTGCATACAAAATGCCATTTACCTGTTAATACCGTGTGCCAGCTGCTGCTCTGTGTCTTTGGGCAAGCTGCTTACCCTCTCTCGACCTGATCTGGAGAGGGTGACTCACGGCCCACTTCACAGGGTTGTTAGGACTGGATAAACAAAGTGTGCAGAATGCCTGCGGCCTCGTCAGCCCCAATACAGGGAGCTGATGCTATCAGCACTCCTGCCCTGCGCCCTGGTGCCCATGGGCCCCCATTTTCCTTGCTTGCAAGCCCCACCTCTCTGACTTATCCAGGTGGTGCTATGAGGCACTCCTGAGAAAAAACACAAGAACTGCTTTTCAAAGGACCTAGTTTTCCAGCTGTGGCCCCAAACGGTACTCTCAGCCCCCAGCTGGTGAAGGGAGGTGAGCTCCACATGAATCCAGCATGGGGCCCGAGTGTCTCCAGCCAGATGCCTGTGGGTGTGACCTACCGGATGCACAGTTGAAGTGCATCTGTCCTCAAAAAGGCCCCAATCTCTAGAGAGGACAGACAGGGCCACAGCCTGTGGGGGAAACTAAATCATGCACAGTTGTCTACTGAGCACCTGTTTAATGCCCCATGCAGGGGACACACCAGCATCAAGATAAAGAAAATCCTGGGTGCAGGGCCTGGGGGAACACAGCTGACAGACACAGAGTAAATCCCAGGTGATGACAGTGGCAAGGTGACAGGAGTGATAGAGGGAGGCTGGGGCCTCTCAGGAGGTGACATTTGAGCAGAGGCCTATCATGGGAAAGGTATGAGGACCTCAGAGAAGAAGATGGTGGAAGGCCCTCTCACATCAGCCCAGACCCCCATACCCTGAGCCTGGGAGAGTCTGGAACCCTCTAGAACCCTTAGGCATAAAGCAAGTCCTGCCTGGACCTCCTGGGATGCCAAAGGGCTGAAGTTCCATTACTTGCCAGCTGTAAGGGGCACTGACATCTGCAAGCCCACTCCCAGAAGCCCCTGTTGAAAAGTCAACCCTTGGATCAGTTTTGGTTGGACAGCAATGCATTTCCCATGCTTAAGCACCTGGCGGGGGTAACCCAGATCACTCTGGGATGAGTTAGTTACACCCCGAAGGCCTTCTTACCACTGCTGGAGGCAGGAAGGGGCCTGAGGAAACCAGTACCTACCGCAGGGCAGCAAGAAAGGAAAATTTGCAGCCCAGATGGCAGAGCAAAAGAAATAAGTGCTCAGAGAGAAGCAAGTTCAGACATCACAGGAGTGACTCCAGAGAGAGAACTGAGACCACATCTCACTTTGGGGCTGAAAACAGTCCTCAGAGGAGGAGGCTGAGAGGGGCTGGGCTGTGGGTGGGCCCAGGAATGAGAGAAAGGTCCCTCTGACAGGTCAGGAGCCCAGCCCCCTATCCCAATCTGCTACCTTACAGGTGAGCAGGAGGAGAGAAGGCAGTGACTGAGGCCCAGAGAGGGCAAGCAACCTCCCGGGAATCACCCAGCCAAAGAGCCTCCACACACAGCATCTGGCCCAGGGTTTGAGTCCCAGCTCCAACTCTTACAAACTGTATGCCCTTGCCTGGAGCATCAGTTTCCTGAGAAGTGGGAGTCATACACAGCACCCTCCCTTCCCATGGCTGATCCGGGCATGCTATGAGCCAGCAGGGGCAAACCACAGCAATCGCTTCCAGGATGACACTAATACCAGCCACAGCACCCTCACAGGGCACGGAGCATGTGCCAGCACCTTTCTAAGCTCTTAGTATGTTGTCAACGCATTTAACCTTCATAGGAGCCCTATGAGGTACCAACACTGCCCCAGCTTTGCGGATGAGGAAACTGAGACTCAGAGTTTAGCCACCTGCTCTAATGCACACAGCCACCAAGGGGCAGACTGGGGCTCAGACCCAGGACAGTCTGGCCCCCAAGCCTATGCTCTTTGTCTTTAGGTTGCTGTAGGTTCACAAGCAATTTTAAGAAATAACATAACTAGATCCTGGGAGCCCTCCAGCCAGTTCCCCCTGGGAGACATCATCAATGAGTTTATCAGTAGCATTCAATTGTCAGCAGCATTATCAGGAGGCTGACAACTGGTCTTACTTATTAGATCTGGGGGGTTTAACAAGTACTCATTTGAAAGTAAGTGTGGGGGGGGGGTGTAGCTCTGTATACTTTTATCTCCATGCAGATTCCTGCGGCCACTGCAGTTGACACAGGACAGTCCCACCACAAGGGTGGCTGTGTGACTACTTCTCATCTGAACCACCACCCATGATTGTCTCTCTCAGTGGGTGGGGGACAGGGTCACTGAGACCCTCTGGGCAGGGCATGCCGGCCACAACACAGCTCTGAGGCCAACCCAAGTGGGCACCGAGGGCCTGGGGGCAGTAAGGGGACACTTGTGGGTTGCCCTGCTGCAGAAGCCTCTCTGGAGTCCCCAGGGGAGGCCTGAGGACAATCAGACAGTGGGCAGCTGGCATGGAGAGCCTGGACACCCAGGGAACTCCCTGCTGGCTCCTGCTGGCCCAAGAGAAGCAGCCCTGAGCCAGCCACTGGCCCAGCATCCGGTGTCACTTACAAACACAGTGCCACCCTCAGCAGGAGAGTCAGCCTCGCTTGCCTGGCCCCCAGGCCACAGCGGGCACTACTGGAGTGCCTGGCACAGGTTTGGAGGGAAACAAGGCAGAACAGGAGCACACCAGGCAGCCCCGGGCACCCCGGCCCAGGCCTAAATGCAGACAGAGCCTGGGCCTGAGGAGGGGCCCTCCTTACCTCCTGCTACCTGGCCAGGGCTTCCACACCTATAAAATAGGAGGGCTCACAACACAGAAGAGAAGAAAATCTGGTGGAGACCAAGATGTAGCTAACTTAAATCCAAGCCCGTGGTCTACACTGAGGATCCTCCCCAAGCCAGTCCATGCACGCAGGGCACCCCGCGGTTTGTCTTGTTTTCCCACCTCCCCTCAGTTACATCCATGGTCACTCACACTGTAGGGACAAGGCAACTGAGGCTCCATAACCTCCCCAAGGCCACGCCATCTGTGAGGGGTAGGCAGGGACCATTTATCAGCCCCTCAAGCCACACGACAACTTACAGGGTGGAGACAGAGGGAGCACCCATTTGCCAGATGGGAAAACTAGGGCTTAGAGATGTGAAGTGACTTGTCAGAGGTCACACAGCCAGAAGGGTTTCAGCTGGGGCATGACCCAGGCAGCTGACCCCAGAGTGAGCCAGGAGGTATAGCTCTCCCACGCCTTACCCCCAAGCCTGTGTTGTGTAGCCCGTTATTGCCCCATTTTACAGACTAGGAATGCTCACACAGGTGTGGACAGGCCACCCAGCATATAAACGGATGGAACCAGGATTCAAAGCAGGGTCCAGTGCAAATGGGCCATAATAGCATCTGGGAACCCAACCCTCCCTGGCCTAGGTTCCAGCCCTAAGGAGACATCCCTCTGCCTCCAAACGGCACACCCAGACCTCAGGACAAATCGCTCCCTCATGCCCTCCATTTACAACTGAGGGCTCCTTGTGAGCTTGGGAAGCCCTTCCAACTTTCCAGTGTTTATCCCAGCTCCTTGCTGCCAGGTCCCTGGGCAAGCCTGGGCCAGTGGCGCTGATTTCAAACCAGACACGGGCACCCTGCCAAGCGCCACCACGGTGGGAGCCGGGCCCCGGTGGGAGCCGGGCCCCGGGTAGCAGCAGCACTGCCTGCACCTGGCTCCCTCCCCCCACTCCGCAGCACCCGGGAGTCCACCCCTACTCAGGCCCCAGCCCACCCCCTGAGAATGAGCAGGAACACCAATCCCTCAGCTCTGCCATGCTCCCGCAAGGATGCCGTTGTGGGCCACAGCTCCAGAAAAGCGGCAGTCCCCACCCTACGCATCCACTCCCACGAGAGGCCGAGAGGCCCTGTCCCCCAGGCCCTCCTCCCTGAGTCCATTTCCGGGACTCAGCAACTCTGTCTGATAGGACGCAGGCCCATTGTCCCACTGAGTGGGCCGCCGCCTCCTACTGGGGCCCAGCGACCAGGACACCCGGCCGGATAGAACTGGGCTCCTTCCGGGCCCCAGACAGCAGCCCCGACACATGTGCTCAGGGGCCAGGCCCTCCTACAAGCCAGGGCCCTGATCTTTGCCCACCCTCCCTGGCCAGTGACCAGCCACGCCGCGTCTCCCTGCCCACCGCCAAGCCCAAAACTTCTCTTACCCGAGCACATGACCAGCCTTTCACTCACGTCAGCTCCAAACACAACTTGAAGTAACTCTCCCACAACAAAAAAAAAAGAAAAGTAAAATGTGCCAGCAAGTGGGTCAGAGGAGTCCACACACACAGATTGTTCTGTTGGCTTCCAGAAGACACACCGTGTCCAACATCAAACCCATCCTTCCTCCAGGACTGACCCCGGGAGGGGTGGCCCCTCCGAGCAGCACCGCCTTCCCGCGAGACTACGGGCTCCCACCCAGCCGGGGAGGCCCTGCAGCCAGGCCCAGCCCTCAGGCCCTGGCCTGACACCCCCACAAGGACAGGGCAGGCCAAGGCCCACTGGGGACAACCCTCAGGGCCACCTGACCCCACGGCGGGGCCAAAAACACGATGTTGGGCCTCTAGCTCCCTTCTTGCCTCCTGCCACTCCAGGCCTATAAACACAGAGAATTACATAAGTCCACTCCTCTTGTTTGGAAGCCAAAAGTACGAGCTTTTTCTCCCAGCCTTGGCAGTAAGTAATAATTCCTCATCGCCATGGTAACCCTGGCGGGCTTCCAGCCGACACTCAGGAGCTGAAACACTGGGAGGCCTTTTTATAGCTCGGTGGAAAAACCTCTCCACTGTGCACTCCTCAGCAGGGCAGGCAAAAGCGAGCTGCAGACCCGAATTTTGCTTTAACCCATTTCCTCCCAGCCGGACAGTCCACCTCGGAGCCCAGGCCTGCCTGCCACCTACCCAGACGGCAAGGTGGGCTCCCAGCCTGGGCCTGGTGTGGAATCGACGCTGCTGCCCCAAGCCCTTCACAGTCCTCCAGGGTGACGCGGCTACAGGGAAAGGCTCTGCCTTTAATACATTTCTCTCCTACTTGTAATCTCAGGAAAGGCAAACATGACCCCTCAAATTGGTATTCTGAATGAGGGTCATCTGGGTGACAGGCCCAGAGGGTGAAAAATGACACAGCCAAACACACATACACAAAGGCCCAAACGGGTAACTTGGTGGTCAGCCAGCAGTCCGAACATTGGCTGCAACTAGCTGTGTGATCAGAGACAACTTGGAGCTTCTCTGGGTGCCAATGTCTATCTACAGCAGGGCAGGCTCGACTCTGCCTCTGGGGCCCTGAGCAGCAGAGACCAGGCAGGCGTCAAGGACCCGCAGCAGCTGCTACGAAGCACAAGGGTCCCTTGAACGTCTGCAGATTCACTCTCCCACCCGCAGCAGCCAGGTCCCAGACGTTTGCCCAAGAGGGAATACTGAGTGATGGTGGGTCCATGGGGATGCAGAGGAGGGCAGTCCAGGCAGAAGGCACAGCAAACCTAAAGGTATAGAGGCTGGACCAAGTTCGGTGTGTTGCAAAAGCAGAGAGAAGGCTGGTGTGGCCAAGTGCAGTGGGGACCAGAGACAGTTAGAAGACGAGGTGGGGGAGTAACAGCAGTCGGGGGAAAGGTAGGTCATAAGGACTCTGGGTAAATCACTTACCTCCACAGACTGGACAAGCTCCAGGAGTAATAATGACAATAATGATTGTGTGACGTACTGTGTGCCAGGCACTGCATAAACACTTCACCTATAAACCCATCTGTCCTTGCAACAGCACAACAAAAGGCAGGGGCACATCTGAACCCCAATATACAAAGAAAAAACAAGCCAGAGAGGTTAAGCAGCTTGCCCAAGGTCACACAGCTGGGAAGTGGCTGAGCTGGAGTTTGAACCAGGCAAACCTGGTTTACATTCACTCTGCCACGTGGTATGGTCAGCAAGGAGCCACAGAAGGCTTGGGGCAGATCAGATTTGCATGTGACGATGGTCTGTGGCCACTCTACTAGGCAGTGTACCAGAGTGGCCACTAGAGACGAGTGCAGAGGCCACATGCATGCTGAGTTTCATCAGCTCTCCTTCCAGCCTTTCCCCAGAAAGCATCCTGCAGAGTGTTCCAGAAGGCTTCTACAGACCTGCCCAAAGCCTTCTTCTATAGATGGGGAAACTGAGGCACAAAAAACAGTGCGTGATAAAAGGACACATTTTCAGACCACAGATCCAGACGCTGTCTTCCCACCAGCTGCGACCATCAGGAGACCACAGAACTCAGGAACGGGCCAAACGAGCCGCAAGAACATGCCAGGAAGGGGAGCGGAGTGGCATGGGTGGGGCTCAGGGTGCCTTTGCTCTTTCCTGCTTGCTTTGGGCACAGACCTGTGGCCGACCTCCATCAAGGCTGGCCCTGGCATCAAGAGTAATTCACCCAAACCCCCACCAGAGAAATATGCTTTGGGCAGGTTGAAAGCTGGGTGGGTCACTGCCAAGAAGCTGGGCAGCGGATGGCTTGTGGAGTGACTTCATAGCAAATCAACAAAAACCAGGAACAGTGACATGCGGCTCCTTCTAGACAGAGCCAGTTGCTGAAACTGAGCTTATGCTGAGAATAAGTTAGCCTGTGGTTGTCTCCTTAGCAAAGGAACTCCTTGTTCCCCAAGCCTCTAATGGCAACCATCCCCTCGGTACTCAGGAAAACCATCCCCTGACCGGAGTTCACCAACATGCCACATATCACTCACTTTTTTCTGGATCTGTCTGCTGGGCAGTTTTGGACAGTGAGAAAGATCAGTGAAGATGTTACGAGATACTCTTTGATGCGGCCACAGAGGCTACGTGTGGAGAGTCAAAGGTGTTCTCCCGAGAGGAGGCAGGAGGGGTCTTAGGCCAAGGGACCCTGGGCAAGGCGCCCAGCCTCTGAGGCATCAGCCTGCTTAGGGGTGGACTGGGGCTGCACTGCCTCTCTCAAGGTCAATAAGAACTGCATGTGTCAGGGGCTCAGGGGACCAGAGTGGGAGGGACTGGACTTACCCCTCCCTGAGAGAGCAGGAGGGGCAGGGGGAGCAGAGAACAGGAGCTAGATGCCAGGCTGTCTTTACCTTTCCTGTCCTCTCCCACACCCCAGCACCCCGAGACCTGGTAGGCGACGACCCCCTCCCCAGCAGCCTCAGTTTCGTCATCTGAAAAGCCACTTCCAAGACAGCTTGTGGATATATATCGGTATGAGACAAAGTTCAGCCCTGTAAAGAAATGAAGCACCAACACATGCTACAATACGGATGGCCCCCAAACACATGATGCCGGGTGAAAACAGCCAGGCACAAAAGGTCAATATTGTGTGATTCCATTTATGGAAACGTGCAGAACAGGCAAATCCATGGACTGAAGGCCAGTGGCTGTCATGGGCTGGGGGAGGGAGGAATAGGGGTGACTGCTCTCAGGATCTCCTTTTGTGGGGTGGAAATGTTTTAGAGGTAGACAGAGGGCTGTACGACATTGTTTATGCACTAAAAATTAATGAATTGTTCACTCTAAAAGAGTTAATTTTACATGATGTGAATTTCATTTAATTCAAAATAGACACAAAGACGGTTTGGTTGAATGGACACCACACCAGCTCAATTTACTGACTCTCTGAAAGTCGTATCCACCTCTCAGTTAGTAGAAGTCCCTGATCCCGCACCTGGAGCCACCAGACATTCAACATTTTTTTATTTATCAAAACTTACTGAGCTCCTAATGTATGTACTGGGCACTGGAGATACAGGTGCTGTGGACGGGGTGGCTTCCGAGACAGTGACAGTTCGACAGTGGCCTGGATGGAGGAAAGGAGAAAGATGCGGCGGCGTCTCAGAGGAGAGAGCCAGGGCAAGGGCCTGTGGTGGCACAAGGCTTGGTGAGTCCTGGGCACAGCCAGGAGGCCAGAACAGCTGCAACAGATGAGCAAAAGGAGGACGTGGCACAGAAGGCCAGCCGAGTCATGGGGCCAGATGGTGTAGGGCCTCACAGGCCACAAACAGGTCTTTAAATTTTAAGTGTGATTAAAATAAAATTCACAACTGCATTGGTTTCCTGGGGCTGCCAAAACAAATTACTGCAAATGGGGTGGCTTAAAACGACAGCANGGGGGGGGTGTAGCTCTGTATACTTTTATCTCCATGCAGATTCCTGCGGCCACTGCAGTTGACACAGGACAGTCCCACCACAAGGGTGGCTGTGTGACTACTTCTCATCTGAACCACCACCCATGATTGTCTCTCTCAGTGGGTGGGGGACAGGGTCACTGAGACCCTCTGGGCAGGGCATGCCGGCCACAACACAGCTCTGAGGCCAACCCAAGTGGGCACCGAGGGCCTGGGGGCAGTAAGGGGACACTTGTGGGTTGCCCTGCTGCAGAAGCCTCTCTGGAGTCCCCAGGGGAGGCCTGAGGACAATCAGACAGTGGGCAGCTGGCATGGAGAGCCTGGACACCCAGGGAACTCCCTGCTGGCTCCTGCTGGCCCAAGAGAAGCAGCCCTGAGCCAGCCACTGGCCCAGCATCCGGTGTCACTTACAAACACAGTGCCACCCTCAGCAGGAGAGTCAGCCTCGCTTGCCTGGCCCCCAGGCCACAGCGGGCACTACTGGAGTGCCTGGCACAGGTTTGGAGGGAAACAAGGCAGAACAGGAGCACACCAGGCAGCCCCGGGCACCCCGGCCCAGGCCTAAATGCAGACAGAGCCTGGGCCTGAGGAGGGGCCCTCCTTACCTCCTGCTACCTGGCCAGGGCTTCCACACCTATAAAATAGGAGGGCTCACAACACAGAAGAGAAGAAAATCTGGTGGAGACCAAGATGTAGCTAACTTAAATCCAAGCCCGTGGTCTACACTGAGGATCCTCCCCAAGCCAGTCCATGCACGCAGGGCACCCCGCGGTTTGTCTTGTTTTCCCACCTCCCCTCAGTTACATCCATGGTCACTCACACTGTAGGGACAAGGCAACTGAGGCTCCATAACCTCCCCAAGGCCACGCCATCTGTGAGGGGTAGGCAGGGACCATTTATCAGCCCCTCAAGCCACACGACAACTTACAGGGTGGAGACAGAGGGAGCACCCATTTGCCAGATGGGAAAACTAGGGCTTAGAGATGTGAAGTGACTTGTCAGAGGTCACACAGCCAGAAGGGTTTCAGCTGGGGCATGACCCAGGCAGCTGACCCCAGAGTGAGCCAGGAGGTATAGCTCTCCCACGCCTTACCCCCAAGCCTGTGTTGTGTAGCCCGTTATTGCCCCATTTTACAGACTAGGAATGCTCACACAGGTGTGGACAGGCCACCCAGCATATAAACGGATGGAACCAGGATTCAAAGCAGGGTCCAGTGCAAATGGGCCATAATAGCATCTGGGAACCCAACCCTCCCTGGCCTAGGTTCCAGCCCTAAGGAGACATCCCTCTGCCTCCAAACGGCACACCCAGACCTCAGGACAAATCGCTCCCTCATGCCCTCCATTTACAACTGAGGGCTCCTTGTGAGCTTGGGAAGCCCTTCCAACTTTCCAGTGTTTATCCCAGCTCCTTGCTGCCAGGTCCCTGGGCAAGCCTGGGC